ACTTGATGAGGAGCGATCGTAGATAGAGAAGAGGCGTGCCAAGGTATTAAGTAAGGGCTTAGATTTAGACGATAAGCTATATAAAGATGTGGGCTAAAGAAGACATATGGGCTAGGGAGACCAAGACTGAGCATAGGAAGTGTAAAGCTAGACTAGCGTTCGTAGCCCTTTCGGCTTGGCCGCCGGGCGTAAATAAATTGTGTGTGTGTACTAATGCATCAATACATCTTTGCAACAGGTGCTCTCCATAGCGGTCTTGTCTCTGGCTGACGCAGCCCAGGTATGTTGTTAGTTTGCACTGGAGCGTCAGCCGCTTCGCCTTCTCCTTGCAGACTCGCACCTGCTACTTCTGATCCCTCTTCTACCAGTACCTCAGCAGAACTCTTCGGCTTGCGCCCTCGTTTCTTAGGAGCCTTAGCAGCTGACGCTTTCTCCTCTTTCTCAGCACGCTTGGCTCGTGCCTCCTCAAGATCCTCGAAGCTCATCACCTTCGCCTTCCCTAAAACAACAGACCTGGTCGATCGCCGAACTGTAGCCTCCTTGTTGACCTTCGTCAAGAACTCATTTTGATCTTGAAGAAGCATCTGCTTTGCAAGGGATATCTGCGCTGCACTCGCGAGCTTCTGTACGTACTTCTGCAGGCGTTGGTTGCTCTGCTCGTCTAGTGCATGCGCATCCTGTTTGATTAAGTTATGTAAAGACATCACACCCTCTGTCGTTACTGGCGTTATAGGGGTTCCCGGTACTTGAGCTTCTTGTTGGTCTTGTGGACGAGGAAGCACGTCTGGAATAGCTATCTCTGAGGGCGGCTTTGGCGTCTTTCGAAGGACTCTCTCTGGGTTGAATGGGAATAAACCACTTGCGGCCCATGCGGCAGTGATATTCCGCCTGGTCATGGCCGTTTCCCTAGCAGGCTTATATATAGAAGTGAAGTGCTCCTTGCTAACAGCTTCTAGCCCTCCCCGACAGAGCCGTTCTACCTCGTCACGATAGGCTGTCTTAAGAGGCCCGAAGACTCCAACATCGCAGGGCTGTAGTTTATGTGAGGTGTGAGACGGCAGGCGGCACATAGTAATATTATTAGCGAAGCAGAATTCTAGGACTTCGAGGGTCTCGTGTGTTCCAAAACCATCGCAAATTAGGACCCGGGGCTTTCCGTTAGCTCGTCCACTTGTTTGAGGATCGAATACACGGGTAAGCCACTCCAGGCTAATCTTCGAGTCATTGTATCCGTTTTCTGAGTGTCCATAATGCCAGCCAGGGGTTGGGAAGGTAGTCCAGTTACTTCTATGGGTCGAAGCTGGCCAGATAATAAGAGGGAGCAGCGACCTACCGTCAGCACTGATGCACTCAATAGCAGTTACCTGGGTGCGCTTGACGCCTGCTCCCCTATAGTCACGGAGGTCATCCTTGCTTACTAGGACTTTAACAGAGCCAAGCATGTTCAGCATGACGCCCGTCTCGTCCATGTTATATACATTCTCAGGCCGTACCCTTGGATCCTGTAGAACTCCCTTGATTACCTCAAACCAGTGTGTAACCTTAGTATAGATGTTCCGTTCATGTCGTTTCCAGTCTATCGCCTTCACCTTCCTCCCTTTTAGTCTGGGGTTGCGTTTCTCAAAGGACCGGGCCCAGTTCTTGCCCGGGGGCTTGATAGGTTTGCCAGTCATCGTCATCGTCCGCCGGCGTGCGAGGCTAAAGGCTAACGAGGGTATATACTTGATTCGGACGGGCTGTCCGAGTTCAGACATTAGCAAAAGATATGCGACAAAGGCTTTCTCTTCATCTGGGGTAAGGTACTGCTGGCCTTGGGCCTTCTCCTTCATAGAGGGTCGTCCGCGCCTGCGGTAGTACCGAGTATGGTACGGAATAGCATCATCCTGCAATGGGGAAGTCCAAGTTGTTGATGCATCACACGAAATAGCTTGTGTTAACATTTGCCTTGATTGGGCCATGTCTACGATCGTGGTGTTGTGAGTACTGCCACTGAGGCCACTACGGCAGACACCCACCCTCCCTACCACGCCGCTCGGAAGACAAAGGAACGCGCTCTGATGCCAGAAATAGATCAGCACGTGATCAGATAAATGCTTCGAGAACTGAGCGCCACACTTTGGCCCGATCCGATCTAGTAGAAACAGGTGCGCTATCTACGTAAGCACACTAAAGTTACAAGCAAACAGAACAGAATTACGGCCATAACTCGGACAAGTCTGGAATACAACTTTTTCAAAGACAAGACTTTAAACAAATGTAGAGATATCTTCTTCTCTCGTATTTGTATAGTTGTATTTCTCTGATATGTAATAATCTTGTATATATCATGCTACGACAGGGGTGTGAAGCCGATCAACCCTAGACTGGCCAATACGGAATAGGCGACAACAAGACCAAACACGCGGTAATATTTCTAACCGCTCTTCTGAATTTGTAGAGAATAACCTTAAGAATAAGTGTTTTATTATCGCGGAGCAATACTAGTGATAGCGCGACTTTTAAGATACTCAAATCGCAGATTCTTTGCGGCATGGGGGGACTTGCGTGTCGCAGGGGGGGACGTTATATTAGATTCTCCCTATTGTAGAGCTTCACAAAGTGCGGCTCTTCGCGGCAGAATTTTTCTATCGCGTCACAGAGCTGTGCGTCTGTCGCTCCTTCAGCGTCGCGTATAGTGTACACCATATCGCCCTTGACCCTGTTATTTTTTATGTTCTTGGACATAAGCCTTAGAGTCCCTTTGTGCATTCTGAATACCATCACTTCATCTCGTTTGTAGTTCTCTGTTGACTTCTTTAACTCAAGGCCCAGAGCTATCGCAGATCCGTGCACCCAATGCACAGAAGGACGCCCTCTATCCAGAGCGGGATAGTAGCATAGAAAACGGTTGTTCGTTCTCAAGGTGTATCTCAACTCAGCAAGGATGGTGCCGTATTTCCCTAAGCCTTGATCTAGGGCCACAGCGTAATTCGGATTCATCTCGTAATCTAGCGAAGTGGTTCCTCCAAGTTAGTAGTACTAGGTGGGTAGTACAACTCGCGTTATAATAATTACCCGAGGAAGGGAGCAGGCCTAAATAATTAGTCTAGCATATATTTCTGATCCTAATCTGTTAATTATACAAAGATGTAGGCGATGACCAACAATGAGGATTAGCAAAAATGCAATGTCGATCATTCCGCTTACGCTTATGCTTATGCTCATGCGGATTACATTAAACGGATCTGGATTTTCACAGTCTCTGGACTTCTACGGTAAGATATAAGACTTCTGACAGGAGGTGATGTTGCTCAGCGTGGGCGATCAGCATGGATAGGTCAGCGTAGGAATCTAGTGAATGTCATAACCGTACCCTAAAACTAACGAAAAAGGAATCTGCATTTATCGAGGATAGCGATGCTATGTAACTTAATATGGGTACATATTGCGACAGCTCATGCTAGCAAATAGTTGAATACAAATAAGCTGGCTGCCCCAGCGCCTTACTTACCCCGCCTTGGGCTTCATGTAGGCTGTATCACCAAGCTAAGAATACAACGGAAGCCGACATCCTCAGCTCGCGACATCTTTGATGGATTGCAGGGTCCTGCTGGTATCTGAGCTGGTGCACCTACCACGATTCGCGATGGCTTCTTTGGATCTGGATGCTCTCTATTCTCTATACCGTATCAAGATGATACAGCAGTACGATGCTGCGCTACTTCTATTCCCGCAGTTCTCCATGTACTTCTGTTAGTAACGATATTATACGCAGTAAGCAGCAGCCTGAGTTTACACGTGAGGAAAGGAGATGGTTTACCCGCGGATGGACACTGCAAGAGCTCGAAAAGACACCGAAGCGGAACGTGCTAAAGAAGCTAACGTTATTCTTGCCTAGGTTAGGCAACTTGTAGAAGCGGATGATACAGCAAATGAGCGAGTCTGATGACGCCGCCGTCTGTCGCTGTGTGCTGACTTCTTGTTTGCATCGAAATGCACCACACTCAATACAATTATGTATAACTATCTGGGGTCTGTCAATAATGAGGACGGGAATTCAGAAACCAGAGACTTACAATCATCTAATGTCTATTTGCGTAGAATATACACGCGGACGTATGGACGCACCTAGGTTAGAGTCATCACAATAGGGAGGCATATCAAAGCCGCAATGATGATGGGGCACCCATAGAATTTGCGGTTTGGGATGTCGGGCACAACACTCTCGTGAACACGACAAAGGTCAGGCTCTGCTTCATCAGGAGCAAACAGGTGGCTATATTAGTGTGATATTTTCCAACAAAGCGTACATTTGCATCAGCATATCCGCCCTAGTAGTCGTCATTATTCTTGACTTTGTACCTCAATAAAATCCCACACAATCTCCTCAGAGCTCCAGTCCATGATCTTGATTTTCTGTTTGATCCCATTCTCCGATTCGCTTGCGAATACACCTAAGGGACGAAGATTCTCATCGTGAATTACTAGCAGAACGCATCCAACTTCTGGGCGCATTCGGGGACATATGTATTCGTTGTTTCGATGATGAGGAGATCTACAAAACAGAAGTCCATGTTCATGATAACCAAGATATTGCGCAGAAGCTGGATCCTTAAACCCTATCCAACCTTTCTCCTCGACGCATCGCCACCTGAAAGTACCAAGCCCTCCTAGTTTGTCCATCACGACCTCGCCGTCCAAGAACGTGATAACTTGTCCGTTCTTGCGAGATCGAATGATGAAGGTTCGCCCAGGCCATGGGATGGAAGATTGCGGAATTTCGTCACTCAAAGTGTTCTTTGTGGTATTTTCGGAAGATGCAGAAGGTGTGCAGATATGCCAAGTTTCGGACCCAACAATAGAAGGAGCTACGGGCTGATCGTGCGCCATGTTGTCGACGACTGGTTTTGATGATGGTTTGCTATGTGCGGGGACTGAGGTATTCAGAAGGAGGTTGGAGGAAAGATGTACTTTTGAGGGATTTTTGATGAACGCTGCACAGCCCAGGTGGGCAGTTGAGGCACAGTCGTCGCACACTCGGGTGCATCAAGTACTTTCATTGGCGTTACTCATCCCGCTCAAGTGGAGCGGCGAATCAGCGCATGTTCGTCAGAATTGCTTTAGCGCCAGCCTTGCGCCGATCATCGTAGGGCTAGGATCAGGAAGAGTCTGGCTTTGTCAGGTGACTTAACGTACATCCCTTCGTAACGGAACAACCGCCGTAACGGAAAAAATTACAGGTACTTTGACTTTGCAGCAACTCTATAGCCTGCAGCCATCGTAAAGATTATATTGGCCTACCTAGGTACATACTAGGGTTGATTCTGAGTCGATGCATGCCCATCAATACAAAAATTACAATCGTGCAGACATCTTCCCTCTGAATATACAAAGACACCTACTTCATCTCAATAATGCGCCTCACGATTTATAAAGCCACGGCCATCATTTCCATGCGTCGCAATATATCTGTCGCTTCTGAACACGTCTACGTATTGAGTAAAATAGTCTACACCTGCTCACCAGCGGTAGGGGCTGGTCAGTAGACTAATTTATGCGTGATCGCCACCCGGTCTGGTACCTCCGTATCTTATGCACCAATCAGCAGTGCTGACATAATCTCAATTGCTGAACTAGCTGGATAGAGGTAAGCTTAAAATGATAAGTCACCTGACGTCTTAAGCTTACTGGATAAGCATCATAGTGATAATGACATCCCACGAGGTCAAGTACGACGGTCAGCACATATCGGGGTAAGAAACAGCAAATCTGTGAAATGATTTTACGCCCATGACCTCTCTATAGTAAGAATAACGCTATGTAAATATGTATTCCACCTCCTATCACCACATCCGGGCCTCGGGCGCTCTCCATGATTCCAGCATTGGATCGACTGGTGTCTGGACTTCTGGCGCATCCCGTTCTGCATGATCTAGGCTGTGCGTTTCTATCACTGTAACTAGACAGTCAGTCCTATAGGTCGACACAATCTCCAGCCATATCTAGATTTTGCCCAGATTCTTTGAGATAAGGGATCCTGAGTAGGTTTTAGAGCCTGAAACTGATTAGATATGCATCTTGTTGGGAGTATTTTGATAGAGCCATACTGTCAAGGCCATCAAGGAACTTCCTTGCACTTGCAGCACGCGTCGTTCCCTCACAAAAGACCCACACGTCAAACCTGTCATGATTGCATTGACCTGCGAATGTCTCGTTCCTAACCTTCGCCACAAGATGAGGTTGTTTCCATTCGCCCAATACTTCTCCAGTGTTATCATCAATTGTGCGGCAATTGCAGGCGCGATGAATCACTCCCGTCCAATCATTCTCGTTCCAGATCCCCGTATTGTCATTAACAAGTTTGGCAGAATGACTGATGCGACCGTTGCTGAGTGTGTAAACTGAAGATTCCACTATGAATAATAATTAGTATAAGTCCCAAATGGTTAACATAAACATTCATCTGGCACTTGTGGGACATACTGGTGTAGTGATGATTGTGATGGACAAAGAATGCGTAAAAAGCTACGCTGAAGGAGCTATTGCAGATATCGAACGGCTTTGGTCTGAGAATATATAAGACCAAGAATCAGCTCAGGGGATCCTCCAAGTAATGACAAGCGGACGTGCGTCGGCTGCTGCCTGCTTGGCATTTATGCACTTTTATGGCTTAGCAAATCAGATTGTTAGTGCAGTATGCACACCCCTGTCAGCACGACCAGGATATGTGTGGACGTCAAAACACCCGGACAATCATGGGGTTTAGAAGTGAAGTCTACATACCGTCAGCGCTAATGCACTCGATAGCAGTGACTGTCGTTCGCTCTACGCGCGCGCTTCTACCCGTTCGTTTATCGTCCTTATCTACGAGCACTCCTGTCTTATCTATGTAGACATTCTCCGGCAAGATACCTAGTCTACGGAGCTCCTGTTCGATAATTTCGAACCAGTGTACAACCTTGTCATAAATATTATCATCGTGGCGCTCCCAAGCCATTGCTTTGTTGTTCCTCGACCTGACGTCTGGATGACGGCGACGGAAGGCTTGAGGCCAGTTTTTGTTCGGCGGCTCAGCGGGCCGATTCGATACTCGTCGGCGAGCGATGCAGAAGGCGAGGGAAGGTATGTACCTGATACGGGTAGGGGATCCACTGGCACTCATTCGTAGCAGGAAATCAACAATGCTTTCTCCTCAGCAGGACTCAGGTATTGCTGGTTCTCATATTTGGCCTTCTTCGAGGGTCGACCTCGATGCCGATAATGAACAGTCGTGCGAGGAACGTTACCATGTCTAGCTCGAACAAAGATGCTCTTACGCACATTGGGAGGCAACTCTAAGGCCAGTGCCTGACTGGCGGGGCCCATGGTTGCTGTCGTATCCATCACAGCTTTCTCTACTGAATGGACGTACCAGTTGTGGATGTTCCTTATGTTTATGCTAATGATAGAACAAAGACTAAAGACTGATAGAACGTGCCAGAAGAATAAGTCACATGACTAACCCGGATCAAGGTCACGTGAATATATTTCAGATGACAAAGCTGAGCTTTTTGCGCTAAACTCTCATCGCGAATTTTGTCAATCGCTCCGGCAACGGAGAAACTTTCTAATCATCACGACAGAGCATTATCTACTATGTCGAGACAAGGATCCGAGACTTTCATATGTGGGACATCACCCAATATGCCCGACGAGCAAATTTGAAATGAAATGGTTGCGTAGGCTGGGACGCCAGTTAAGGTGCGAAATGTCGTCGCCAGCAGATTGACGTCCCACAGCCGCACTACGATGTATTTTTCTATCTCAACCTGAGTCATGTGTAGGATGTATGCAAGTAAAAATTATAAGAGATTAAGAATATTTTTCGATAAGTTTTTCTGTGTCTTATCTGCTTGCTTAAGAAATAGTGTTCCGCCACACCGGTTGTTCCGGTACGAAGGGATGCACGTTAGGCAAGGAACGGTAGATAAATTGTTAGAAGGTCTGTGTAAATCTGTGTAATTATCTTTATGTTTGTTAAGAATGTCGAGGCCATATAATATTTGTTCCACACATAGTTGACAAGAACCGCGAGAAATTGATATTCAGTCGACTTCTAAGAATAGTAGCTAGCAAGCGACCGTGCGTCGAAGTGATGGCCGGACGAAGCCTCTCAAGCTTCGTGCCACACATTGAGCCGTTTTGGTATAGCGCAAGTGTACATTGCAGGCCGCTAATTGTTCTAAAACTGCTGTGTCAGCACGCAAAGTCCTTTCGGGAAAGGCTGACGTGATTTGTCCCCAAGGTTTTGAGATTTGTCTCCAACCGAAGTACCGAAAATGGCAGGCTTTGTGCTTTGCAATGCAACTTTACCGCAACCTCAAGTGTAATTTTCATTTTCAAAGCCAGGAATGTAATCAACATACTTCAAAGCATCCTCCATCTAAATCTTGTGAGTTTCAATAGCGATAGGAATGAGGTAGATGAAGTTGAAGTCGACGATTTTCTTAAAAATATCACCAACATTAACGTGCAACCAAACCACAATATAGGCTTGTTTTAGGCTATAAACACACAGAGAGGATTTTCGATGCTTTCAAATAATTTGTATGTCAAAACGTTTAATTGCGCTCTTGACAGCGTTGAGTTGTGCGGATGTAAAGCATTTCGGTACTTCGGTTGGGGACAAATCTCAAAAACTTGGGGACAAATCTCAGCAGCCACCACGTTATCAGTAATACACCTTTTTGCACCTTCGACAGGAGAATGGTATTTCTAGCTAGCGACACCGCAACAGCTGGATGTGTAAAGTATCCGTTACTTGCTTCTCCAGCTTGTTGTTCCGAGCCTCAAAAATCCATCTATCTAGGTAGCAAATTGTAGCGGAGTAGTAGGAAGATGTGGAATCCTGGAGCGATATCTTGTGAGTACGTCTTCTTTCGACCCGTCCAGATTGGTTCTATCGATTTGGCCATCTAGAAGGTCTGCACGATACTCTGCGAGAATCGTCTCATATGGGACTCGCGCGCGACGATAGTCCTGAAACAGTCAGCAGAGCTGAAGCTAGCATTACTGAAGCATACCCACATCTTTCATCAATGCCCATAGCTCGTCTGAACAACTACTCTCTTCGTCTGTCCATTGGTAAGTCAATATAACGCCGACTTCAGAGAATTTACCGATTGGTCCCTGTCGGGCACAGTTTCTGAGATTTGATAAACCGAATCCAGAAATCTCACGGCCAGCTAAGAGATTTGCCGCGATGACAAACGTCGCATCGTACAAGTATTCTAAAAGTACTCGCTTTAAGGGTCCTTTTTCATCACCAATGCGCTGAAAATGCATTGGATGAGATGAATAAACACGGAAGCATTTATGCTCATTGCCCATTTGTACGATGTCGTAGTCTCCACTTTTGCTGACTGAAGATGACCACTGATCCGAAAGCTGCCCATCGGGTACTGTATCTCGGCATTGACACACGACAATGACTTTAGGACGTAAAATTGCGATTGCCGCTTCAAACCCCTGATAGGCTTTCTGATTGTTTCGTTCTGTTGTCCTTTCGTCCTCACAACCCTGAATCTCAGCGCTGCGAAAGGGCCTTCGGTCTAGTATAATGGTGTTTTCGACATTGCGCTGACCTGCGAAGGCCATTGTCAATGTTTCGTCTACAAGTTGAAGCGCCGGTGAAGAAGCCTTCATTGCATCATAGCAATGTGTTTCGGCTTTGTCGGTAGGCTCCAGAAGAACCACGATAAGGTCGCCATATCCAGTCGCCAGATTTTTCGCATTCTCGCGCGCAAAAGGGCTCGCTCCAAGTTCCAATCCCGTCCTGTCAAGCTCTTGAAGATGAGCTGTGGTCATTTCGCTACCCTTGACGCCAAGAGCATTTTGAAGGAGAGCAGGTCGAATGTCCTCTAGGAGAGTCCAATCGAAGCAAGTAGTAGTCATTGTTGCTGATGCTGAATTGGCGATCGGTAAGGGTATGTGTGTCGAGGACAAGTATTATGGCCACGGACTGATGTCACAAGTAACAAGAGAGAATCTCTCTTTGACGGATGGCCGCATGAAAGGACACCATTGGGCGCCACGTCAGAAGGTAATGATCCCCGCGGTGCGATGATCACGTGACTGGCATCACGCCAAGACCGTGGCTCAGTGATGCCTGCTTACTAGCAAGCAGTCGCGCCAATGCGGCACAGCTCGTATCGTGCGCTAAGCCGACGGATCCTTCAAAATGCTTACGGTCAGGATCGAGTCCCATCGCGATTAGTCTCGCCTGCGGCGCGGGACGGTCGCACCAGCCTCGCGGCATGGTTTCGGCCGCTTCTGCACACAATCGCTGCTGTTCTTGTAGCCATCGCATATATGAAACAGTTCGCAGCCATATTCTATCCTTGAGCGGATGGTCATCGCGGTGGCTATGATGCCAACCGTGAACACCGGGGCAACGCTCAGATCACCTGAAAGAGCTATTTCTCCGGAGCCGCACCTAGATACAAGCCCCCAGCTAAGCAGTAGATAGATCTCTATCGAATACAATCCTGTTTACCAGCGTACAGTAATTAGCGATTGCGGCTTCACCCTTCCACGCAGCTCCGCAATGGTTTTGAATTTCCCCACCTTCCGTACATGGCATAGCGCGAGCAGTCAGCTGCAGATCAATCAACGTGATTGGTCAATCTTCAGTCTTATGATGACGAAACTCTTAGAATGCTGCTTGTAGGGGTGAAGCCGCAATCGCTAATCACTGTACGTATGTACCACTGGTGGGAGAAGGAAGTTACAGCCACTCCAAGATGGCTCACGCGTGAGTGGATTATCCTCCCGGCGTGCGTGTGCGCTGACAGATCAGCGCTGACGCTAACTACTTATGCCTTGTCTACTGCATAAGCACTGAGCTTATCTGTATTCGAATATTTGCGAACGTGAGCTGCCGCAATACATATATTAGGTTAGCATCGCTATCTAAGAAAAGAGTCTCCTGCATGTTATGTTAGCTCTGGCTTCAAGTCAATTTGTGTCAGAAATCGAGGTTTCCCAGCGAGATGCAGTCGACAAAATCCGGCGATCAACACTGTTGGACGCCGTTGCGTTTAGCAAAATGCTCTGTTAATTGCTTTTTCAGCCTTCGAGAACCAGTCAATGCGTAGCATGTAGCTGCTTGCCGTGAAACCCCGCATCTTCTCATCTTCTCCTTAAGCCTCCCACATAGCGAGTTCATTCAAGTCGAGAACTGACTTTTCTATTCTTTACTCTGCAGAAGCCCTCCAAAATCTGTTGTGTACAAATGGCTCCAACCTTCGCAGAGTGAGTTTTGTTTCTAATGCCGACCCGGTTAAGCTAAAGCTCGACAGCTTTATCCAATCACCTCAGTTCACCTTCTTCGTTGGCCAGGAGGGAAAGCCTGTCGTGGTGCATGCGGCTGCGGTTGCTGCTACTAGTCCGCAGCTAGATGCACTTGTTAGTGGTGGAATGCAGGAATCTGAAACGCGATGTGCGAGGATCGAAGATGTCAGGGTTGACGATTTCATCCGGTTCTGCGAATACACTTACCGCGGGGACTATACGGTACCTCCGTGGGAAAAAGTGCTACTAGGACCGAGCTATGTACCTGGGAAGAACGAGCAGAACGACGACAATGGAGTGGCTCCTGTCTGGGATGAATTCCCTGCTGCACAAGAACCTCCTTCCATGGAGTGTTACCCCCAAGAAGCTCCGGCATGCGAAGAACCTGCCGCCCAGCCAGTATCTGAGTCTCAATACGTAGCAAGGAACATCTCAAGAACCTCACTACGCACTCAATT